CTTGTGATGTGGAGGAATGAATGTTTATTGTGAAAAATTAATCTATGCTATATAGTTTATTCTCACAGCTTTTGACATGAAACCATACTGCTATGATACTGAAATGGGATTTCATATCATCATTGATATAATGGTATGTAAGAATATAGCACATTATTGAAAGTAATTTTAACAGTCAAAACAGCATAATATTTTTGTTATAAAAATTTTCATAACTCTAATAAATTATATTAGTTTTCCTGTAATTAAATAAGTTTAAAAATACAAATTATGAATCCTGTAGTAGAAGTATTAACTTTTATACAAAGGTATACCCCAAAACGAATAAAACAGAATATGTGCTATTTTTCTCCATATGTGTTTCATATATTCTCTCACTTTGTGCATTTGCAAAATACTGAGAAAATGTTAAATTGAGAAAAAAGCCAATGTGGCATCTCCATGCATTTCCATTCCCTGAAATTCTCATGTCTGGGTGACATAAATGAGATGACAGCTGTTTCTTCTGTGTATTTGATATACAGTCTTGTAATTTCTTGGTGCATATTTTGGTTGCTAAATTTCCAGTTGTGAGAGCAATGATGTCTCTCACACTCTTCTTTTGAGGTAATTAAACTTTCAGCCCATCTGTGCAGTAATTTTAATAATATTTTCAAAGGGCATGGAATGCTTTTAATATTTGTACCACTTTCTTTTTGCTTGCTAAACGACCTATTATCTGGCTGCACGTAATTGAAGCAAGTTTTTTTTTTAAAAAAACTGGTTAGTGAAAGAGGACATTAAAAACATCACACTAGCAAGAAAGTAACATAACTAATGCAGAATTTGAAAACAATGAAGACTATATTGTTTGCCAAAACTACATTTCACACCCTTGTTTTCAGCATTTTTTTCTTGGATTCTGTATGTTCACTCCTGAAGTAATAGGACAGATTCTGGAAAGGATCTTCATTATCCTGGAGATAATCTATTCCTTGAATGAAAAAGTTTCTAGCTTGTGTATGTTGTATTAAGAAAAGATTAGGTGGTTAGGTGGATAGACATTGAAAGACATTAAGATTTTTGGATCAATTGAGTACATCTGTTGCTTAATAACAAACAAAATTAATAGTTATGTTTCCAGAGACTAAAATTTAATGCATCAATTAAGTGTCTAATGGCATTTAAATATAGGATAAGGTATTATAGAGAATAAGTTTTGTTTTGAGAGGTGTTTTTCATCTTTTTGTTGTTGTTTATTGTGTTTACTGTAAAAAATTGACAAAGAAAAAAATTGAAGATTTAAATATTTCCATTCCATCATTCTTATTAATCATTATTATCAATTTAGCTAGGGAAATGGTAAATAAAATACCCATAAACATAAGTTAGGAGTACCCTAAGCGTCCTGCTGTGCATTATCTTTTATCTTATAGACATTTTAAAAATTGAGAAGCAATTCTTTCCATGTTTGCATAAGCTTTCATAAATTAGATATAAATATATGATTTAGCTAATTCCTTTCTATTGGTAGCAGAATGCCTTTTTATGTTGTGTCATTTTATGTATGCTTTTTTTAAAAGTTTATATATATATTTATGTTAATAAGAATTTAATAAAGTAATTATAGCAACTCTCAATCATATATGAGGTAAACATTTTATTCTTGGTTATTCGCTTTTGGAATTTTCATGAATATTTGGGACACAAAATAAGTTGTGTTGGTAAATATTTACATCTCTTTTTTCCTTATTTCTTTATATATTTTTAAATTAAGAATTATACTTCTCTCATAAATAAAAGATAAGTATTCAGCTCTAGCTTATCCTATTTCTAATTTATTACTCAAATAATATATTTTTAATTTATTTACATTTTTGTGCCCAGAAGAATAATTTCTTGATTTAGTTTTTAAAAGGTGTAATAATCATCTAAATGTCATTTGTATTTATCTTTCCTTTTGCCTCCAATTTTCAATTTTTTTTGGTTACTGGTATTTTTAAACTTTATCATTTCCTTGAATCTTTTTTTTTTTAATTTTCACATTCATTAGTATCAAAATAGAATCACCAACACTTTTATTAAACACATGACTTAAGTTCTATGATTGAACAATAACTTGCTCTGAATAAAAAACTCAAGGGGTTTTCAAAATAATCAATAAGATTTTTGAGGAAACATTTTTAAATTGTGAGAGTGGTATTAGAACCAATTGAATTCAGTGTATATGTTAAAATTTGCTTTGTTCAAGTGCTGTGGGGTACATGGATCTCAATGATAAAGAAGATGTGGTGCTGTCCTTTCTGATCTTCCCAAGGAGAATACCACTTCAAAAGGCTGTGAAAAGAGTTATATAGAGTATGACATGACATTTAATTAAAATATTCAACCCAACTTGGAATTCAAAAAAGGCTTCCTGGAAGAGATAATGTTTGAGTTGAACAACAAAAGATTAATAAACACTTTCCAGAAAAATGAACAAAACAAAAGTACAACTGACACTACATGAATAAAATTATGAAAATATGTAACAAAAAGGCTAAAATAAGAACATCACATAGCAAGACTGGTTGAGTCTAGTGGTGTAGTGGTTAAAGCATTTGGTTGCTAACCAGGAGTTTGGTGGTTCAAACCCCTCAGATTGTGGATGAAAGCTGAAGCAAACTGCTTCCATAAAGATTTAAAGCCTTAGATACTCAATGGAGTTTTCTATTCATTGGAATTGACTCAATGACAATAAGTTTGGTTCTGAGCTGGATTACTCTTGTCTGGTAGGCTGAGATATAGGAGGAGAAAATAAAACCATAATTATACTCCAAGAATTTCAAAAGACTTTTTTTTTTCTTGTTAAAAGTGTTTATTGTAAAAAGTTGAAAAAGAAATAATTGGAAGTTTAAATCTTTCTAACTCCATCATTCTTATTTTCTGTATCTATACTTATATAGCTTTATTCATAGATATAGGTCTAGATCTAGGGCTAGATCTATATCTAGTAATAATTTGCCTTGTGATTGAAACAATAAAAAGAGATAGGATAGATAAAATATGAATACAAATGACAGTATTTATCAACAGTAATTCTTTCCTTTAACTCTTGTCAATATTTAATCTAATTGCCCACCATGATAAAATATTAAAGCTAAATTTGGCTCAAAATTGTGATTCTCATAATAAACACAATCATTTGGATTTCAACAATTGAGTTATAATAACAAGGTCAACCTCAAATCTTTTGGCAATAAAATTTTAAGACCACCGTTATTTACTAAAAAGGAATTGATCATCATTAACTGATCTTTAATGATCTTTTATATTAGCTTGCCATCTATTTACTTCCTATTAGACATATAAAATGAAGAACACTGAGTTTAGTAGAGGACTAGAACTGTAATACCCAAAGTACAGAGTAGAAAAAATTGGCCAATTAGCTTCCTTAAATAAGATGTATTCAGCAAATAGGAAAAGTCACCACCTGCTTATATTTTTTTTTCTTAGGTTGTCTTTAAATATAAAAGAAAGTAAACAATTTATCACAAGGATAACTAAAGTCAGTAATACATTAATACATGCATATTCCATATATTATGCTATATTTGGTGAGAAAATTGAATGAGAAAATTATTTCTACACTTGTGGGACTTAGAATATTTTGTTTATTGTATCAATGGAAAATGGTGTATATTGTTTTCTCAATTTTTTTTTTCCTAACAGACAGACAGCCTTACTTTTACATATATTTTTCCCATAATATCTATGTATTAGGGTTCTGATGCTTAATTTAAAAAAAAATAATAAATTAAAATGTTAGTATTTTAATAAATAATGATTATTATATACATGTATATGTAGTTTACTTTCTCATAATAATAGTTGCATTAGTTTCTTAAAATCAAATTACACAAATGTTTGTATGTTTACCATATTCTTACTCTACTCTGCATCTATTTTTTTAATATTTTTTTAGGGGGAAAAAAAAAAAAAAACTCCAAATAATGTCATTATGTTGTTGTTGTTGTTGTTGTTATGTGCCGTCGAGTGGGCCCCGACTCATAGCGACCCCTCCTTGGGTTTCCGAGGCAGTATCACTACGGAAGTAGGATTGCCCAACCTTCCTTCCGAGGAGTGGCTGGTGGGTTTGAACCACCAGCCGTCTGGTTAGCAGGCACGTGTCTTAGCCACTATGCTACCAGAGCTCCCAATGCCATTAGTTTTCATAATTCCAAACATTTTAGGAAAAGAGTAATATATATGTTCTCCAACAAAAGTAAGTTTTCCCTCTACTGTAGAAATGGTTTATCCCCTTCTTTACCCTTTCTACTAGAATAATGGGTAGAGTAATACTTATACCTTCAAACTGATCCTAATTCATATTGACCTTATGTTGTTGTTGTTATGTGCCATCAAGTCAGCCCCAACTCATAGCGACCCCTCTTTGGGTTTCTGAGGCAGTATCACTACGGAAGTAGATTGCCCAACCTTCCTTCTGAGGAGTGGCTGGTGGGTTTGAACAGCCCCTTTGGTGGTATAGTGTCTAATGTGATTGACTGTTAGACCAGAAGTGTTGCACCCAGATCTTGAATCCCCAAAAACCACCAAGGTGCTGCTCCCATCTGTATACCAGGTAACTTCGGCATCTGGCAAGGGTGTATCTTGTAGGTCAGCTCTGGTTCCGTGTACTTGCACCAGAATGTCGATGCAATCATGGAGCGGAGTACCCAAATCCAGATCCAGTAACAGGGTGGCAGGGTTTAGTGCTGTAGGTGACTGGAAGATAATCTTAGTTGGGTTCAGTAACAGTCCTTGGTAGTGGGTGAGCCGTGCATTGCTGAGCCATTGATCAGGGGGGTGCTTAAGAGTTTCTTCTATGGCATGCGGGGTGGTGACATATATAGTTCCTGTCCCAGTGTAAGTTTGCCCGCATCTTTGACTAGCAAGGCTGTTTCTGCTATTATGCGTAAGTATGGGGGCCACCCCGCCACCACTGGGTCCAGTTTTTTGGAAATATAGGCTACTGGTCTTTTTCAGGGGCCTAAGCATTGGATTATAACTCCTTTTGCTACCCCCTTATTTTCATCAATGTATATATGGAAGGATTTTGTTACATCAGGTAGTCCAAGGGCAGGAGCTGACAAAAGGGCAGTCTTAAGTGAATTAAAGGATTTTTCCATGGCCTCTGTCCACTGAAATTTCTGCCCCTCCTTGGTTGCTTCACAGAGAGGTTTTGCCAGTTCTGCAAAACCTGGTATCCAAAGTCTACAGTAGCCGGCTAATCCTAGGAACTCCCGCACCCCACGTGGGGTGTTGGGTCTAGGGATTTTTAGCACAGTCTCCTTGCGGGCCCTAGTCAGCCATCTTTGTCCTTTTTTTAACATATACCCCAAATCGCTCACCTCTGTTTGGCAAAGTTGAGCCTTTTTGGCTGAGGCTCTGTAACCCATTTCTCCTAATGTCCAGAGTAAGTCTCTGGTCCCTTGGAGACAGGTCTTGTAGTCTGCTGTGGCAACTAGTAGATCATCTACATATTGTAATAGCATGAGACCGGGGTGGTCGGATTGGAACTTACCCAGGTCTTCATGCAGCGCCTCGTCGAAAATTGTAGGTGAACTTTTGAGCCTCTGAGGTAATCTCGTCCAGGTTAGTTGTCCATTAATGCCCTCTGTGGGGTCTGTCCACTCAAAGGCAAACAGGTCCTGACACTTTGGGGCCAATGGTAGGCTGAGAAAAGCATCTTTAAGATCCAAGACTGTGTACCACTGGTGATCTGTGGATAAAGAACTAAGGAGGGTGTATGGGTTAGGGACAGTAGGATGAATGTCTACAACCCATTTATTAACTTCTCGGAGGTCTTGTACTGGTCTGTAGTCATTGGAATGAGGTTTTTGAACGGGAAGTGGAGGGGTATTCGAAGCGGACTGACAGGGTTGGAGTAGTCTTAATTTTAATAGGTGCCAGATGTGGGGGGTTATGCCTTATCAGGCTTCTCATGACATAGGGTACTGACGGACTCTGACTGGGTCCGCTCCAGGTTTAATTTCCACATAAACCGGTGGCCTATGTTTTGCTAACCCCATACCTCCAGTTTCAGCCCATGCCTGAGGAAAAGCTAATAACCACTGCCTTATATCTCCGGATGGGGAAGGAGGGGGTTGTTGTTGGAGTCTATATTCATCTTCTAGGTTTACAATTAACACTTGAATAGGTTGGCCCCTACTGTCCATAATGGTTGCCCCTCCTTTTTGAAAGTGTATTTGTGCTCCTATTTTGGTTAGTATATCTCTCCCAAGAAGTGGATAGGGGCATTCTGGAATTACCATGAATGAGTGGGATACCCGACCCACGCCAAGATCTACTGTTCTTCGGGTAGTCCATGAATATTGATTTGTCCCTGTGGCCCCCTCAACCCAGGAGGTTTGATTGGACAGGTTTCCTTGGGCTTTGAATAAGACTGAATGTTGTGCCCCAGTGTCCACGAGGAAGCCAATTGGGGTCCCCTCCACTTTAAGAGTTACCCTGGGCTCGGGGAGGGGGACCAAACCCTGTCGCCCCTTATCACTGAGTTCCCCCAATTCTAGTACTTTAGTCGGTGGTTTTTGAGTTCTTTTATTTGGGCATTCTTTTGCCCAATGTCCATCTTCCTTGCAATAGGCACACTGATTCTTCCCAGTTTAGGGTGTCTTCTCGTGTGGGGGGGGGTCCCCCTTACCTCGATATTTTGCAATTTTCTGCAGTTGTTCTTCTCTTTCTCGGACGCTCCCGGTTTTTGAGGCAAGTAAGATTTTTGCAAGGTTCCGAGTGTTCCGGTCACTGGCTGCCCCTAGTGCCTTGGCCTGTCGGTCTTCTGGACTTTCCCAGTGATTATAAACCCTCCCTACAACTAGCATTAAATCCTGAATACTTTTTTCATTTAATCTGTCAATTTTTTGTAACTTTCTGCTAATGTCTGAGGCTTCTTGATTCACAAAAGCCATGATCAGTGCAGCCTTAGTTTCAGGTGCTTCCAGATTCATGGGGGTGTATTGGTGAAATGCTTCCATTAATCTTTCTATGAAAGTGGCAGGACTTTCATCCCTCCCTTGCTGTACATCACCTACCTTAGCCAAATTGGTGGGCTTCCTAGCGGCTGCCCTGAGACCTCCCAATAGAGTCTGACAGTACACACAGAGTCTCTCCTTACCTTCAGTCATGTTGTAGTCCCAATTGGGATGGGTTAAGGGGATGGTGGCATTAATCACCTCTATTAGTAGTGGGTTGCCTATTATCCCCCAAAACAGATTTCTGGGCTTCCTCTGGATCCTCTCACGTTCCTCGGTGGTGAATAAAATCTGGAGGAGCTGTTGACAATTGTCCCATGTAGGCTGATGAGTAAACAAAATAGTCTCTATGAGGTCAGTTAAATCTCTGGGATTATCTGAGAACTTGGCATTCTGAGTTTTCCAATTGTACAGGTCACTAGTGCCAAAAGGCCAATAGTGAAGTTGTTGGTTGCCGGTTGCATCTGCGGGCCCTGTGGCCCGCAACAGCAAGACTGTGGAATCTGCTGGTCCATTAGAGGGGGGTGCGCACTGCATTCTTCCACGGGTGCCGGCCGCCTGACCTGCTGCTGCTGCCATTGCCCCGCCATTGTCCGGCACTTGGGGCAGTGCACCCTCTGCAGCTGCAATACCTGCTGAAGGGGTTTGATAAGGAGGGGGGAAAAAGGAGTTCTTCTTCCATCCCACCCTGAAAGACTGGGTAGGTCAGTGCCGAAGGTTTAATTTCAGGTTCTTTCTTCTGGGCATTATGAGTTTGTACTGCCAGGACAGTTTTAGGTGCCTGCTTAGGAAGAGAAAGAGGTAACAACAGCTTTAACCAGGGGGGTGGATTTTCCACTAAATCCTGCCATATAATAATATATGATCCCTGGTCCAGGTGCCCCCAGCTGGACTGGAACATAACTTCTTTCACCTTTAAAATAATCTGAAGATCAAACATACCTTCAGCTGGCCATCCTACATTGAACGTAGGCCATTCTGAGCTACACAATGTTACAAATTTTCCTTTTTTAATTTCTAAACTTAAGTCATGTGCTCTCCTTTTAACTTCCTTGAAATTGTCAGTCAGGAGAGAAAGAGGAGTTGTCACAATTTGTCGCATTTCATCCGTCCACTGATTAAACAATACTAAGGACACTAACAAAAACCAAATAGACACACAAAAAGACAAACAAAATATACCTCCCATAGATTGGAAGCAAAACCAAAAGTAGGACGACAGCTTCACACCGTGCTGCAGGAGTGACCCACTTCATCCCTTTACAGGTTCCAGACTGGAGGACAACTTTTACTTCCTCCCCAGGTTGAAGAGGTTTTCTAATCCCGTTCCAGAAGAGGCCCTGGAATGTCTTCCAGGTCCTCCGGCTGACGGCCCACCCATGCATCCACTTAGGCCAAAGTCAACCTTGCAGAAAATGAGCCCCAGGTAATACACAAATAACTTAAACAAACAACAAACATTTAAACACTTACCAGCCTGCTGCAACCCTCTGGTTCCGAAGTCCTGGGGTGTCTGGGGATCCCGGACGAGCCCCAAGTGTTGCACCCAGATCTTGAATCCCCAAAAACCACCAAGGAGCCGATTCCACTGCAAAAGCATAGGGGTTGTCTATTCAAGCTCAAGCTCGGACCCTCAACCATCACCAATGCAGCGGTTCAGGATTGAGAGACCCGAACTCAGTGGTAACAGGGTTTTTATAGGGGTTACAGCAGAAATGAGGAAGTTTCAATCAGAAAATCACAGGATTGGTTGACATTTTTCAAGTTGCTAGTTGTTCCTACTTGATTGGCTCTGTCTTGTGGGCCGAAGCCACCAACTGCCATTTCTAACTATTTTAGGTAACGTATTTTCTTGCTATTTACTGATTGGTTGTTGCTAAGGAATATGCTTGGGAGTATTAATGAGGTGGGAGTAGTCAGGACTCTTTGTGGTTTTTCCAGTAACTAAAGCACTAAAGCGTGAAGTAAATGCTAAGGCATATTGCAAAATGGCTACATACTTAAAATGGTTACATACAGGGTGGTTATATAGAAACTTGGTCTCACAGAATGTTAGCAGTTCTAAACCCCACAACTACTCCACTGAAGGAAGAGGGGGCAATCCACTTCCGTAAAGATTTGCCATCTCAGAAACACAATGGGGACACTATGAGTTGGAATTGACTTGATGACAGTGAGTTAGCTGTAATTTTTATGGGAGAAGATTGTCAAATCTTTCTTCTGCTGAGGCACTCCTGAGTTTGAACTGCTAAGCTTTTGGTTAGTAGCCAAACACTACCAGGGAGAAGCTGAGGGAGGCCAAGGAAGGAAGCAAGCAAGATGGAATGGTGGGATTGGAGTACTGAGAGAGGCTTGGAAGAAAGTGAGCCAGGGCAAAGGGTTTGGAGTCACTGAGGGAGACCAGGAAGTGAGCTGAGAAGTTTGGAACAACTAAGGGGGGCGAATTTGTCTGTCAATTTGTTGTGTTGTGGTAGTTGCTAAGACAGACTTAGAAACAGGAAGAGGCCATCCACTTCTCAAAGAAATGGCCAGTGAAAACCTTATGAATAGCAGTGAAACACTGTCCAATATATAACTGGAAAACTCTATGAATAGCTCTGAAACATTGTCTGATATAGTGCCAGAAAATGAGCCCCTCAAGTCAGAAGGAACTCAAAATATGACTGGGAAAGACCTGCCTGCCTCCTCAGAGTAGAGCCAACCTTAATGATGTGGATGAAATAAAGGTTTCAGGATCTCCATTGGCTGATGTGGCATGACCCAACATGAGAAGAAACAGCTGCAAACATCCATTAATAATTGGAACATGGAATGAACGAAGTATGAAACTAGGAAAATTGGAAGTTGTCAAAAATGAAACAGAGCACATAAAGATCAATATCTTAAGCATTAGTTAGCTGAAATGGACTACCTTTGGCCATTTTGAGTCAGACAACTATATGATTAACTATGTCAGGAATGATAAATTCAAGGGGAATGCCATGGCATTCATCATCACACAGAATGTAACAAGGAATTCAAAATTAAGTCTCATCAGTGATCACCATGCTATTTCCCTCTAGCATCTTAGTGCTTGCAAAAATTGGTACAGCAGTTTGAATTAGATTCTGGTGCTCTGGACAGCTCACTGAGTCAGAGTGCACCAAATTCAGAGGAGTAGAATTAGAAAGGAGAAAGTTACAGGAGGAGAAAAAATAACAAGATCAGATCTATCTTGTGGAGTGCCAACAGGCAGCTGAGAAAAGCCATTGGAAAATTCCTTGGAGGAGCACCAACCAGAGGTGAGAAAGGCCATCTGAGACCTCCCTGGGTTAAGGAAGAAGACACACCACACCAGCATACCAGCAACCACATCAACATACCAGCGATCACCCCAAGGACATACATACCTTCAGCACCTGATTTTATCAGTAACTTGGGTCAGCTACATGCAAATGGGCACATCCAGCACTACTAAAACATGAGCAGAGAGTCCATTGGTGGTGCATGAGATTGTGCTCAGGGAGGTGCCCTCACAGCAGGTCACTGAAAAGGCTTGGGTCAGCTTAATGGCACTGAGAGGCTTGCACTTGACTTTACTGATGATATTGGGATCCTAGATTATTAGCAGGCACTCTCCTGACTCCAGTGCCTCTGAAACTGAGTGGATCTTTAGTGCTGCAAGTGGGAAGACACACAGTGGAGCTCCTGTTGTGGAGTGCAGTCTGGGCTGGTTGGGATGGTGCCACAGGTGGGCAGGACCAGAGAGGGGGATCCCCATGGTGGATCGCGAACCTGGGCAGTTTAGTTGGGTCAACTTTTTGGCACCAAGAGACCTTGGGAGTGGAGTTTTTACGTGTACCTGAGCCTGGCGGAAGGTGGGAACCCCCTAAAAACTGGAGTTTTTGCTGAAATTGAGCTGAAGGTCTCTGAATAACATCACAATGTCATCAACAGCAGCCTGCTCAAAGCCCTAGAAACCACCCCTACCAACAGGGAACTTCCCTTCTCCTGATCTTCTGCTCCCACCTTCTCTGCCAATAACTTCACCCATCCATTAGAAGAAACTACAGTTAGCCACCATAATACGTCCCAGTTCAAAGTCGAAACCCTCTTTACAACTAACAGAAACCCATATCCACATTCCACACTCTGATTCCACCATCACAAAGAAAACTGCAGAGCAACCCAGCATGCGTGAATTAACAAATAAAAAAAATAAAAAAAACACCAGCTTCACCTTTTCAAAATATTAGACCATAAAACCAAGAAAAAACAAATCAATACATAACCAAATGTTAAAGACAACCTCAAAATATCTAGGAAACAACAAGCAACCTCAAATCAAACAAAAACAGGACAAGACATTAGAAGCAAAACCACAAATAAAGATCTCATTAAACATGGAGGAAGAAGAGGCAATAGAATTATCTGAGAAGGAATTTAGAAAATATGTTTATAGAGCTTTACAAGAGCCTAAGGAAACCTCCAACAGAAGCAAAAAGAACACAGACAGTTCCCCGGAAGAATTCAGGAAAATCATTCGAGAACACAATAACAAGATTAATGCACAATCAGAACTCATACAAAAACAGCAGTTAGAAAACCAGAAAATGAATACCAAAATTACATAATTACACAACACAGTGAAGCACAAAAGAGTAGGTTAGAACTGGCTGAAGAATGCATATCTCAACTAAAAGACAAATCCCTGGACACCAGCCTATATGAAGAAAAATCATAGCAAAGACTTAAAAGAAATGAAGTGAACTTAAGAATTATATGTGATGACATGAGAAGAAACAACATACGACTTATTGGAATTCCAGAACAAGAAGAGGCAAAAAAAAAAAAAAAAACTGAGAAAATTAGGGAAGACCTGCTAACAGAAAAATTCCCCCATATTATGCATGAAAGAAGAAAAGATATTTGTCCAAGAAGCTCATAAAGCCCTACACAAGATAGATTCCAAGAGAAAAACACCCAGGCATATTATAATAAAACTCTCCAAGACTAAAGAAAAAGAAAAAAAATTGAGAGCTGCCCAAGACAAAAGAAATATTACTTATAATAATCAAACAGTTAGGATGAGCTCCGATTACTCAGCAGAAACCATGCAGGCAAGAAGGCAATGGGATGGCATATATAAAACACTGAAGGAAAAGAACTTCCAACCAAGATTCCTATATCCAGCCAACTTATCCATCAAATATGAGGGTGAAATCAAGGCATTCTCAGACAAACAGAAATTAAAGGATTTTGTGAAAACCCGACCAACCCTAAAATAAATGCTTAAGGATTTTTTTCTAATAGAGAACCCATAACAAAGATCAGCAAAATCAGGATACGTGGCATCAACACTAAAATCAACTCAGAAATAGGAACTCAAAATAAGACCATAAAATAGATAGATAGATAGATAAGTATATAAACACACACACACACACACACACACACACACACCAAGGAAGCCAAGGAAGTCAATCAGCACATGAAAAATGCAACTAACCTATCAGAGCCAATAAAACTTCTAGGTACAAACTTCTAAATGGAGAGGAAAATAGGACAATATCTTCACAGTACTCACTGTTCTAAAAATGCAGAGACAAGAATATACTCCAAGGTAACCACAGAGAAAATTAACAATCACCCTAAGCAAATCCTTAAGGAAGGAAAATATAGGGTTTAATAAGCAAAAAACCAACAATAAAGAAGAAAAGGGAGAAAGCATTGGCCAACAAACCAAACTCAGCACAGAAAAGTATATGGACCAAGGAAACACCAACGACATGACCAAAAAAAAAAAAAAAAATAGAATGACAGCAATCAATTCATACCTACCACTAATTACACTCAATATGAATGGGCTAAATGCACCTATCAAGAGAAAGACAGTGGCAGACTGGATAAGAAAAGAAGACCCATCGATATGCTGCCTATAACAGACCCACCTTAGACACAAAGATTAAAAAAATAAAAAATTAAGAGTTAAGGGATGGAATAAAATATATACTAAGTCAATGGAAACCAAAAAAGAACAGGAGTAGCAATATTAATTTCTGATAAAATAGACATTAAGGTGAAAAACATCCCAAGAGACAAAGAAGGATATTATATGATGCTGAAAGGATCAGTTGACAAAGATATTTCAATAATAAATATTTATGAACCCCATGAAAGTGCTCCAAAATACGTGAAGCAAATATTAACTGAATTAAAAGGGATAATAGACAAATCTACAATAGTAGTAGGAGACTTTAACACACCATTTTCAAAGAGGGACTGGTCAACTGGAAAATAACTCAACAAAGATACAGAAGAGCTCAAAGATACAATCAACCAACTTGACCTCATATACATATACAGAGCATTTCACCCAACAAAAGCACAATTCACATTCTTTTCC